TATCTATTTATCTATCTATCTCTCTCTCTCTCACTCTATATATATATATATATAAAATTCGACTGCAGCGACCTTGTAATACTTCTTACCCTACCTAGAACCCCGCGATCAGTTCAAGCAAGAGTTTAGAGGAGTTGTGGGGGCACAGCTTCCTGGGTCCTGCAATCCTTGTGACTGGAAGTTGTGCAGGAAGGTGCTACTGCTCATGGTTTACAGCGGCCATTGAGTGTGCTGTGTCTGTTGCTGTTGCTCACGGTGCTGGTGCCACAGGTGGTGCTAGTGAAGTGGTGGTGCTGCTGTTCTTGGTTTGTTACTTAAACCCTAAACCCTAAGCCCCTCAACCCCTAAACCACTAACCCCTAAAACCTAAAACCAATGGCGTCGGTGTCGCCGTTGTTGCGCCGTTGTTGCCCTAAACCCTAAACCCCAAACCCTAAACCCTAAACCCCAAACCCTACACCCTAAACCCTAGGCGGTCCTTTTGCTGCAGCTCTCAGGCCGACTGCTTGAAGGATTTAATGTGGGGTTCCTGCAAGGGCCTGTGAGGGCGCCTTCAAGGCAAAACCAGGGTTTGGGGTTTGCGGTTTAGGGTTTAGGGTTTAGGGTTTAGGGTTTAGGGTTTAGGGTTCAGGTTTTAGGGTTTAGGTTTTAGGGTTTAGGGTTATAGGGTTTAGGGTTTTAGGGCAAGCCAAAGAAGCTCTGTAAACCCTTATTGACACTGAGCCCAGCACTCGACGTCCATGACCAGCATCTGGGAGATGACGTTCACGACCTGTGCAGCCACCATGCACGAGGGAACGGAAACCGAAGCTTTATAAGCTTTACCTGTAGCCTTAGGGTTTAGGGTTTAGGGTTTAGGAATAGGCTTTACCTGTAGCCCCCCAAACCTACCTTTTTTGGGTTCCTTCCGGTGGCAAATGCTTAAAGAAGGGTAGGCTGTGTGGGCTACAGGTATAAGAAAGCCCAAACGCCTAATATAGGGGCCTTAATAATTAGAAGAAGGCCTTGGGGCCCATTATCCTATAGCTATAACAAGGAACCGCCAAAACAACAGGGGTAATTATTTAGGCCTCTATATTAAAACCCCAAACCCCTTAAGGCCCGCCTCTGCATCGTCGGAGGTCAAAGCCTCTGCGGATTTCCGCGCCAGCTGCCGAGACAGGACGTCCTGTACAGCCAGGTTTATCTTAAGGGTTTCGGACTTTCGGGTTATAACGGTTTGGGTTTAGGGTTTAGGGTTTAAGGTTTAGGGTTTAGGGCTTATAGGGTTTATAGGGCTTAGGGTTTATAGGGTTTAGGGGTTCGGGGTGTGGGGACTTGGGGTGTCAAGGAGTTTGAGGATTTTTGGTCGGTTTACCTAAACCCTAAACCGCTTTAGAGTTTAGAGACTCCGACTTCTAAAGGGAGATCAGAATAAGAAGCCCTACAAAGGTAGGTTATTTGGGCTCAGGGCTGTAGGGCTTAAGGCCAAAGTCTCAGCGTAGAGATATGCACCATCACAAGGACATGCTGGGCGCCCTACACAACAAAAGAACGTTGTGGCGGACCCCAAGAAGGCCGTCCTGCAGGCGCCGGCGCATTCCCAGCAACATCGAGGCGTCCTGGGCGGCGGCCTCTGATGCCCAAAAAGGATTTTGATCCAAAAGGGTTCTCTTTAAGGGTTCCAAGAAGGGCTCCTTTGAGGGTTTCTTTTGAGCCCCTGTTGGGGTTTCGTTTCACGGCTCTTTTAAGCCTACCTGCACGGAACAGTCCGTCAGCGCACCGGCCTGTGAGTAGACCCAGACCCCTCGGAAGCATGCGTCAAGTGCCACAAGTGCCCTTGCAGCAGCAGCAGCAGCAGCAGTTTCAGCAGCAGTCTCAGTTTCAGCAACAGCAGCGTACGGTGCGCAACCAGCTTACCCTGAGCCAGAAGGGTTTCCACAGGAAGCTCCAGTCCCGACACCTGAGGACAACACTGTCAACCTTTTCAGGCAGATGCTGCCCAGGATGAGCAGATCCGAGCGCAGCAGGGCCAGATTTCGCAGCTCTCCCCATATAAGGGGTTCCGACCCTTTCTACGATATAGGCACGAAGGGCTCGTTGTGTTGACTAGGGGCTTAGGGCGGAGGGTTGGCACAGTTTGGTATTCAGGGTTGCGGGTTGAGTGGTTGTTACAGGGTTGTTTTACAGGTTTAAAGAGCTTGTATAAGGGTTTCGAAACATTTTGAATTCAAAGGCTGTATTGAGGTTGATAAGCGCGCTATAAGGATTTTTATTAGCGGCTGGTGGGCTCCGAACAGGCCGAACAGCTTCAACTTTGTGATTCATTGCTGAAGTCTTGCAATGTGTACCTGTCTCTGTACTCCCCACCAAAACCCATTCACGTGATTTTTTTGCCATCTGGTTGCCCAAACCTGCTTTAGAAACTTCTGGGCTTGACACTTAGTTTGTCGCTCCACCGTTCAGTGCGGTTTTGAGGGTAAGCTTCAGAGCGCGGCCCTCCAAAACCCAAAGCAAGGGGTTTACGGCTTGGGGCTTTTCCAGCTTATACTTAGGTTTAGTATGCCCACTATGCGTCAATCGAGGTTTGAATAGCTAGGGAGGTGTTCGGACAAAGGTATGTCAGCTGTGGGTAGCTGGAGAAATTATATTAGTGTGTCGCTTCAACACCCTAATTACCCAGGTTCTACGATATATCTCTTCTTTGTGGTGTGGCGTTCATTTTTAGCAAGGTACCACGATCACGGGAACTAGACAGGACACAATCTTGCCTTGGATGGTAATGACGTAGCACCATTCTCTGTGAAGTATGTGGTCATAGGGGCCAAAACGCGGCAACTGAGGCATCCAGTTACATTCCACAGGGACCAAAACATGAAACACAAACACGTCAACCCAAGAAACCCAAACCCTGAACCCAGAATAAGAGGGTCCTTACACAGAGAGGACCCTTGAAGATAACCCGAAAACCCACCAAACTGGCCTGGCAATGTATCCAACCATCCACGCTGGCCTGTCCTGGGGGAAATCGTCCGGAAACTTGAAATCCCTACGACCTTCGCCACCCTAAACCCTAAACCCTAAACCCTAAACCCTGAACCCTAAACCCTAAACCCAATGATCTGTAATGGCCCTAATGGAACTCTTGGGCTCCACTTGTTCGCAAACTCAGGGTGGGTGGGGCTTGGGGTTTAGGCTTACTGCAAAGGTATCAAGTTCAGGTGGGCAGCTTAGGCGTGTGCACTAGGGAGGAATATGGCGGAAAAGCACCGAATCCAGGCCCCGGTCCTTTCAGGAAGTCCACTTGGATGCGATGACCGAGCCTGGTCGGTGGACAAGTAATGAAATATGTATGTGTGTACGTACATACATATGTGTAAATACTTAAATAACTATATATATATATATATGTATATATATATATATGTATATGTGTGTGTGTGTGTGAATGTTTCTGCATGTGTGAACATGTATGTATGTGTGTGTGTGTGTGTGTGTGTTTGTGTGCGTGCATGCGTCTGTTTGTGTGCGTGTGTTTCTGTGCGCGTGTGTGCATGTTTTTGTCTGTGCGAGTAATTGTACATGCGTATACGCATACATATAGAAATATGTATGTACGTGTAGATATATATATATATATATATAGAATCATAGAATTATATAGATAGATATTCATATCAATATTTCTATGTGCATGTGTGTGTGTATGTCACTTGTTCGTACAGGTGTTTGTTCGTTTGTATTAGACATGAATACATATCACTTACATGGATACGTATGTATGCTTACATATATATAGATACACATCATACATACATACATACATACATACATACATACATACATACATGCATACATACATACATGCATACATACATACATACATACATACATCCATCCATACATACATACATGCATGCATACATGCATACATGCATACATGCATACATGCATACATGCATACATACGGATATACATACATACGTACGTACGTACGTACGTACATACATACATACACATGCAGACGTACATACATACATACATACATACATACATACATACATACATATACATATACATATACATATACATATACATATACATATACATATACATATACATATACATATACACATACATCTACATCTACATCTACATCTACATCTACATCTACATACATATATATATATATATATATACACATGTATCTGTATGTCTTCCACATGTATGTAAGTGTGTGTATACATATATATATATATATATGTATATGTATATATATCGCATGCGTCGAAAGGTTCCCGGCATACTCCCACCCCTAGCGGGGCAGTGTTAACCTTCTTGACCTCCCCAACACTGCCTCTGCGTCCCTCCGTCTCGCTCTCTCTTGCTCTCTCGCTCTCTCTCTCTCTCTCTCTCGCTCTCCGTCTCTCTCTCGCTCTCGCTCTCTCTCCCTCTCTCTCTCTCTCTCTTCTCTCTCTTCTCTCTCTCTCCGTCTCTTTCTCCGTCTCTGTCTGATGTACTCTGGCGAGGCACAGGAACAGAGATTTCAGCGACACTCCGCAACAATCGCGGCATAAGGTCTGCGACTTCTGACCCTGGCCTTGGCGACACGAGAGGTTGAAACTTTAGGTTTGTACTTGCAGCACGGCCTGTAAAGTATTTTCTGTAAAGGCCTCACAGGGGCGCGAGGACACATAGACTCACAGACGTTTCTAGAAGCCGCATTCGACTTTGATGTTTTCTTTACATGACCGGGGGCTCAGGTCTCAAGAGAGTGGGGTTCCGGATCTAGGGTGCTGAGGGTTTAAAGCGACTTAGGAATGTGCTACGGGTTTTCAAATTCCAAAGTGAGGGCTCTAGGTTTTGGAGGGGTTTCGTGTCCGAAGCGAAGGCTGTAAGTCCTGTGTTCTTGATCTTGTAAGTTGTAGTGATCTTGTAGGTTGTAGGGAATAGTTAGCGGCTGAGTATTTAAGCGTTGCACCCAACCAAACTCCGCAGTTGGGAATGGTGTTTCGGACTCTGCGTGCAACAGCAACTTAGACTGCAATGGTCTGATCTTGCTCGTCGCGGGCCGCGAGGAATTCGCTGCTGTTTGGTCTCGTAAACTTCGGTTACTAACAACAAAATCACAGATCTCTACCTCTGCTTTGCTGATAGAGCAGGGATAGGTGAACGGACAGATCCAAGCCTTCATGTCAGCATGAAATAAAACCTAAACCCCTGAACCCCAAACCCCTAAACCGTTACCAGCTTAAAGGCATAGAGCGCAGATAGGATATGCCTCGCCAATCTGAGGGTTGTAGTTGGCTGAACGAACCACTGTTGCCAACACGATTTCTCCTGCCATGGCATTGAGTATCACTTTACAATATTTATGCTGACTGAGTTGCTACAACAGCTCGAGCAAGCACCCTCATGAACACCCCCATGCAACCCATCTTCACTGAGATGGAGACACTGGACCCGACAACCAACGAAAACAGGAGTTTGGAGCCATCTGTAATCTGCGATACGGACTTGGGAGCCAGCCGAACTTCCTTCTCTAAGCCCGACCCATGGCAGCCCAGGAGCCAGTGGCCAAAGACCGAACCTTCTCACCAAACCTGTCTGCTTGCTGGGATCAGACGGCCCCCACCCAGATGAGGGTTCTTAGGTTCAGGGATGCGTTGATTTGCGGAAGCTGTCGAGACATGGCTTCTGACATGTCGCTGAAGCATTACAGGGCTTTCTTCCTCTGCACACAAGTGCTTAAACCATGCGCCGTAAACCTTAAAAACCTAAGCCCTAAACCCCCAAGAACGAAAACAATTGTGTCTTTGTTCACCCTGAAACCGCTAAACCGTCATCGCAGCCCCCGCCAGCCACGAAGAACAGAAGCCCACAAGGCCAGTTCAGCCCGGCCCAGCCCAGCGACGCCCCAAACATTCCCAGCCCAGCCCAGCCGGCCACAGCTGCAGCAACCTGCTCTCCGAGCCGTGACCCCTGAAGTGTGACTCACCCTAGAACCGAAACCTTAAAGCCCCAAACCCGCAAGTCCTAAAGCCCACTACCACTCTAAAACCTGTGCATGGTGCGTTTTAGGGGTATTTAGAACAGGGTTTATGGCCGAGTTCTGCCAGGTGGCATGAAGGCTCGATGCCGAAGAGGTCTCACCTCAAGGAGTTGCAAGACGTTTAGGTTCGTTGCTTGAGATGGGCAGTTCTGTAAATCCTTCTTTCTACGGGTGCCGCACTACTTGTTGGGACCTAGAACAGGACCCAAGTTTGGAGAACTACCCATATAAGGGTTTCGGGTTTAGGGTTTCAGGTAATCTAGGGTTAGGATGGGCTGGGCCTTGATATTGATATACATGCTTAGGGTTTAAGGTTTAGGGAATGCTTAGTCATACTATTCCCTCACAATGCCTATATCTTCAAACTACAAGTAGACCTCAACGCCTCAACCGCAGAAACCCTATTCTAAGTATTCACCCTAAACCCTTAACCCCAAACCCTAAACCCTAAACCCTATTCACCGTAACCCCTAAACCCCAAACCCTATTCTAAGTATTCACCCTAAACCCTAAACCCCAAACCCCAAACCCTAAACCCTAAACCCTAAACCCTATTCACCCTAAACCCTAAACCCCAAACCCTATTCTAAGTATCCCCAAACCCTAAACCCCAAACCCCAAACCCTATTCTAAGTATTCAGGCCGTCTTTGCTTGAGTGTAGGGCCCCAGGGCCGCATCGGCATCCCAGTTACAAAGCCATGAATTAGGGTTTAGGGGTTTAGGGTTTAGGGGTTTAGGCGTTAGGGGTTTAGGGTTTAGGGGTTTAGGGGTTTGGGGTTTAGGGTTTAGGGTTTAGGGTTTAGGGTTGAAAACTGAAAACCCACGACCCCGAGACCCAGAACCCAAATGTTTCAGGGCGTAAAAAGGGGCCTGAATGATTAGAACAAGGCTTTGGGATATATTAGACTATACGTATACTAGGGAACCCTAGAAGTAGGATTTGGGAAGTCTTTGGGTTCTGAATTAGGGTTTAAGGGTTCCCTGCGGGCCGAAAACTCCCCCACCAAGCCCGAAACAGGCCGCTGGCACCCTGCGTCGGGGCGGCGATGAGGGGCGTGGTGCCCAGCAACTTTTGCACTCCTCTTTAAGGGTTTAGGGTTTAGGGTTAAGGATTTAGGGTTGAGGGTTAAGGATTCAGGGTTCAGGGTTTAAAAGGATTTCCTCTTTTCCACGCCAGGAAACCACATGCACCTGCTTAGAACCTCACTCCTTCGAATGCAATCCAACTGATAGGCACGATCCCTAAAGCCTAAACCCTAAACTCCTAAATCCCAAACCCCTAAACCCTAAACCCTAAACCCCTAAACCCTAAATCCCTAAATCCCTAAAGCCCTACACCCGAAGAGACGCAAAACCAACCGTTCTTTTTTTGGGCTGGGCCCGAGACGTAGCCTTGCCCCCAGCACCCCTAGACCCTAAGCCTTAACCGAAAGGTTTAAAGGCTTTTGTTGCCGTTTTGGGCTTGGGGTTTAGGGTTTTGGGGGTTTGCCGAAAAAAACCTACCTTTTTAGGGTTCCTTACTATGGTTTCTATATACAGCTCCGCAAAAAGGTAGGTCTTTTGCGGCAACCCAGTTGCAGGTTCCACCCTCCTATAGCGGACGGAGTGCTGCACCACTTGAACCTCAACTTCGGCTTAGGCTCCGGTAGAGATCTTGTTCGTTGAATGCTTAGGCTTAGGGTTTATAAAGTCTTAAACAGTATGATTAAGACCTCAGGGCCCTTGGGTTCAAAAAACCCAGCTCCCTTCAACTTCTATTCCAATCCCCGAGCTGCAGAAGCCTCAACCTTAAGTGTAGGGGCCTTGACAACCCCTAAACCCTGAACCCTAAACCCTAAACCCTAAACCAACTAATGCAACTAGAAACAGGCTTCATGGAGTCCTTTTTTCGGCTCTACATGTCGACTCAGGTTTCGGTGCACATCAGAATCATAGTCTGCCTTATAGCTTGGTTTTATAGCGACTATCAGGGGATACTGTTACCAAACATTTCAACCTCTTTGTGCCTGAAGCCTCAAGCCTCCAGCCCTAAGCCCCAAAATGCTCAAGCTGAGGGTTTACAATGTATCGTCCTCTCGGCTGGCGAAGTTGTAGAACCCGCACTGAGGGCAAGTCCAATCCTCGATTGCGATTTCCGGTTCTAGGGCATGATCCAAGGGGTCAGAAATATCCACAGGGCTACCAGCGAGGCCCTCCAGTAAGCTTACAATAACAAAGGGCGACCCTAATTAAGGGTTACGACAAGGGGGTTCAGGCTCGCTACCAATATTGATGTCACCGGTACGCTGCATGCGTGATAACAGGGAACCTGGTCCCACTGTTCAAAGAACATGGACTGTCTGCGCACCGTAGAAAAATCTCCATACAACACAAATCTTCAAGCCCTGAGTCCATGAAGAATACCCTAAACCCTAAACCCTAAAGTTTAGGGTTTAGGGTTTATAGGGTTTGGGGTTTAGGATCTATAATGTGGGTTTAGGGCCTAAACCTAATAAACAGACTACCTGTGCACTGCTGATAAAGCACGAAACCCTGCCGGCAAGCTTGAATGGGGATCCTGGCTTCCGCTTGCTAGGCTCAAGCGTTTAGGGTTTAGGGTTTAAGGTTTAGGGCTTAGGGTTTAGGGTTTAAGGTTTTGGGTTTAAGAATTCTAAACTGAAGCCCTCAACCCTAAACCTGAGTCTCTGAACCGTAACCCAGTCAAGATGAAAGTCCAAATTCAGTAGAACAGGGTGTGGAGGCAGAACATAATAATTAGCACTGTGCGCATTATAATGTAGGCGCCTACATAATTACCAATACTATTTCGGGGGTTCCTGAAAAAATCATACGTAGTATGTTGGGCCCTCAAACCCTATTTTGATTATTAAGGCCCCCCCCCCTATATTAGCCCATACATAGACCCCTACGTATTATACCCCCTAAGCCCTAAACCCCAAACCGTTATACATGCTATCAAGCCTTCGAGTTTCTATCGGCCTCAGTTCAAGGCCCTCAGCCTGAAGCAGGAACTCCGAAAACCTGAGACAAATCAAAACACAGAAGCCTCATATTGATTTGTAGAATAGGGCTAGGGCTTCGGGTTTAGGGTTTTAAGGGTTTACATAGCGTTAAGGGTTTAAGGGTTTAGGGTTTAGGGTTTAAGGGTTTAGGATTTAGGGTTTAAGGTTTAGGGTTTAAGGGGGCGCAGAACAAATTGTGATGTAACAGAACAGGTCATGCTGATAAGCCGGTGATAAGCCCTAACCAGAGAAGTCCTAACGGCTCAACCTCCTGGCCCCCACCCTGCTCGAGATGTATCTGCGGCCAAGTGACGCCAGAGGCTTCCTGCGAGCTAAGCAGCAGCAACGGTTTAGGGTTCAGGATTTAGGTTGTAGGGTTCAGGGTGTGGGGTCAATTTTCAGGGGTTGGGATGGGAACTTGCCAAGGCTTGTAGGCTCCAATGTTTACCTCAGACTAACAACACAACCTACTCGTTTGTCGGAAAATGCTGAGCCTTTCGGGTTACGGTTTAGGGTCATTTAGGGTTTTAGGGTTTAGGATCCGCGACAAACATCTTCTTTAAATCCATTCTTTATCGTGGGGTCTCTGAACAGGGAGCGATCGCTTAAGGGATTCTGGAATCTATGGATCTGCCATGACTGAAGCGATTCCTGTGGGGGTCGTGGTCTGCAAGAAATGATGGAATGAATGGTACCTCGTCACACCCCACAAAAGCGGATACACTGGAATGCAAGTTTTCCCTTCTGCCGTAAAGCGGGTCAGGATTCAACTTGAGACCTAACTCCTCCGAAACCTGAAATGCAAAAACCTTCAACCCAGCACCCTCAAGCCCTGCACCCCTAGGTTCCCCAGCAGTTATCTCCTCAACAAGTCAAGTGAGCATGTGTTCCTAGTCTTCGGGTTTGACGAGGCAGCCCAGTGGTAGAAGGGTTCGGGTAGGTCTGGGGGATCCAGAAAAGCTCACAAAGTGACAGTCCCATGAAACCCTGGTTGAACCCATAAACAAAGAAAACCATATGAAACCCTTCCATCACCCGTGTTGCACTCTTATAAAAACCCCCTAAGGACGCATTCTGAAGCACCTAAACCCCTAAACCCTAAACCCTAAACCCCTAAACCCTAAACCTTTAGATCCAAGCCTGCCTGCGCAGCCTGGTCTGCTTGCAGAGCAAGGACGCTGGAGCTGTGGAAGCCAAGTGATGTCGCATTGCGTGCCTCAGGTTTACCCTAACCCTCCAGGTGCCTACCATAGAGGATACTTGAGCCCCTAAGGCCCCAAAAAGTAGAAACCTGGAGGGTTAGGGCTAGGGCTCAGGGTGTACTGCAGGGCGCAGGGCGGGACACTTTGCTGGGTTTGGAAATGTTTTAAAGGCTTCTTAGCGGGTTCTGGAAGGGCTTTATCGGCTTTCACAGAGGGTTTTGGGGGTTGGATAGGGCATAATTGTGACAGGCACTGCCCAAGACCGAGCCACAACGAAACCGTCATGGCGATCAGAACCCGAGACACTCAACGACAGTCCCCCAGAAGATGTAGTGTGCTTCCCCTTCTACGCAGGAGTGAGTGAGTGTGTGTGTGTGTGTGTGGCTGTATGTGTTTGAGTGTGTTTATACTTGTGTACATTTATATACATACGGATGTGAGGTCATAGAACATATGTATGTATGTACGTACGTATGTATGTATGTATGTATGTATGTATGTATATCTGTGTGTTTATATATATGCATATATATATATATATATGTGTGTGTGTGTGTGTACGTGTGTATACACGGTATATTCGTCTATATGTTCATGTCTTATTTCACTATATCTGAATACATACAGGCCCGTCGTGCAATGGCACGGCAGGCGCACACAGATGTGCATAGGTACATGGGTGTGCATGCCTACAGACAAACACATAGTCGTACATACTTCTCAGGAACCTAAGATGCATATACAGACACGAGTGTGAAGAGGGACATGTACATGTACTTGCTCTGTCTATGTCTCCATCTTCGGAATAATGTAGTATGATATCGCTATACAATGATGTATGGTATACACGGATAAGCATATTTTCTCGTAGATGCCTATCCACATGAGTGGCAAGATCTGCTCCCGTGCAAGCCAGCGACGAAGAGTGTGCCATTGTCTTTCCTCAGCATGGGCTGTAGTGCCTTAAGCCCAGTAAAACGAAACCTCAAAACTACCCCGCCGAAGTGCAAGCCTCGACAGAATGCGCATGCCCATGCTAGAACAGGTTTAGGGTTTCGGGTTGAACCTTCAGCATGCAAACATACGACTTCGTGCAATCAGCTACCCAAGCTTCATTAGAACTGATTGTTCGATAAAAAAACAACAGCCACCATTGCTGCCCAGTGTAGGTGCTATCATGCCGAAGATACACTTCTTTCACCCAGTACCACTCCGACTCTTGTTCCTACCACTAGTGCTACTTCTGTTGCAGCTGCTGCCACTAGCACTACTACGACCACTACTACATGCCAACATATGATCATTTCTCCTCCCGCTACTGCTACTTCAACTTGAACCCTCTAGCTAGTGGAACCGCTTCGATGCTCCAAATACGATGACTATAGCTACGAGATCTACCCATGAATGCCGCCAGACCCAAAGCCTCAAATGCCCCATAGGCTGCTGGGGTTTGCAAGAGCAGTTGGGAGTTCTTGCTCTTAGGACATCACGCGTTTCGGAACTTCGGATGGAATCGGCTCGTAGCCCCTGCCGTAAAGTTGGTCCAAGCCGCGCAAGAAGCGCATTGGGCCACAGCGCGGCGCAAAGCAGCGAACGAAGAAGCTGGAATCGACGGCGATTGAACTCCTGACTTGCAACACATCCATGATCAGGGTTTAGAGTTTAGGGTTTAGGGTTTAGGGTTTGAGGGCGAGTGGAGCTGAGGTTCCATTCCAACGTGCCCGATCGAGTCGCTGCTATCCTAAGCCCTACAATAAGCTGTGCACGATTTGTACAAGGGTGTTCAGCTTCTGAGTGTTTGCCGCTGGCCCATGAAGACTTTGGTCTCAGCTTCTGGATCCACTGAAGGCGCGTGCTATCGCAGTGACGTTCTGGCCTTAAAGGACTGGCAACAGCCAATGCCCCAAATCAAGGGTTAGGGTTTAGGGTTTAGGGTTTAGGGTTAAGGACTGCCAACAGCCAATGCCCCAAATCAAACTCCCGAGGAGAACCCTCGCAGCCCCAGGCCGCAACACAAAACCGTCGGGCAAGGCATAAAACCCAGAACCCTAAACCCCGAAACCCCGAAACCCCGAAACCCCGAAACCCTGAAACCCTGAAACCTAAACGCCGAAACCCCTAAACCCTAAACCCCGAAACCCCTAAACCCTAAAGCCCGAGACCCTACTGGCCTCTTTGGCTGCCAGAATGCTGGAAAGGCAGGCAGGCATCCGCCTGAAGCTAAAATTAATAAGAAAAGGGGCCTTGATATTTAAAATAAGGTTTGGGTTTAGGGTTTAGGGGTCTCCCTAATAATTAGAATAGGGTTTGGGGGTATCTTCTCCTATAACTATAGTAGGGAACCCCCAAAACCCTATTCTAATTATTGAGGCCCCCCCATTACAGTACTTTGCTGCAGCCTTCAGTCTCAGGGGCTTTCGTTCTTTCGGTTCAGGGCTTTGGGTTTAAGGGTTTAGGGTTTAGGGGTTTGGGGATTTAGGGGTTTGGGNNGGTTTAGGGGTTTAGGGTTCAAAAGGCCTTTCGCAAGTATGCTGGAAAAACTTTCGTACTCTGAGCAGCTTGAAACTGCGAACTTTAAACCCTAAGCCACTAAAAAAGCCCCAACCCAAGCTGAAGACCCGAAACCTACACCCCAAACTCTAAACCCGAGCTATAGACCTGAATCCTCAACAAAAAAACTGGATCCAGGCCTCTTCGGCGCGTCGTCAGACGTCTCCGGGCTGCTGAAACCTCCGCTGCGTGCACTCATGGTTCCGATTGCAGGCTTTATTGAAACTGGGTCTGGAGGGGGGGGGGGGGTTGGGGTTTTGCAGTTCCAGCTCGTTCTCATGTAACTGAGATTCAACAGCAAGACATCAAGCCTGAGGCAATGAGACAAATGCAGAATGTTCAATGTTGCTTGCGGGTTCGCGAAACTAAAGAGCGCCTGTACATAAGTTACTCAAGCATGGTCTGATACCATGTAGAATCTAACTCAATCCCGACACTGACAAAGCGACCTTGTCTGTGTTTCCAGAACTGGATGTTACAGGCTCCCGTACGTGACAGCTTCAGCTGAGCATTCCGCATGGAGCTTTACCGTTAGAACGAACCCTAAACCCTAAACCCTAAACCCTAAACCCTCAACCCATCCAAACCCTAAGCCCTAAAGGGCACAGGGGCAAGGAATGAGGGCCGAAGGCTTACGATTCAAGGCCCTTCTCCCTGAAACTCTTGTTCCCTGGCCCAGGCCCCATGTCCCTGACTCGGAGACCTCGAACTCCGTAACTGAAACATCAGAGTTACACGCCTTTTTCACCTGGGTTATGTGCTTGAGCAGAAACAACAATCGTTTAAGATATGTGGTGCTGGTTTTGGAAGGAAATCTCGTCGGGCTCGTCAATAATAAATAAACTGACGGTAACCACTTCCAACTCATCTTATGCCAAGGCCTTGCTCAACCAGAATACCCATGAGGTGCCGCCGCATGTCGGAAACCTCGAGTTGTTTGCGATTTGGGAACAATATTTGCCTGCTCATGTTTGGGTGTGAAAGATTTCCGCTTCTGGGCTCACAGTGCAAAGTTTACGACTTTCGGGGTCTAGCATATCTGCTCCAACCGCCAGTGTTACACCTGTGTCAGTCGTACTACGACTGATACAACGCAGGGTCTCCTGGCCTCCAATATCATACACGCCTGTGAACAAAGCTGCCCAGAATGGCATGAACCGGTCGACAACCCGACGCCGCAAGTTGCTACTAGCATGGCGCATACGTCCAGAGCCTGCGGCCGAAACCCTATAGAATCTCGGATTGAAGCACGTATCGCTCTAAGTGGCGGTGCTCTGATCAACCTCGATCGAGTCGCATTCAAAACCCCAGATATGTTCACGTTGACATATCTCGAACCCTCAATGGCATCAGCAGACAACTCGCCCTGCATTTGCCAAAGGTAAGCGTCATCAAACTCGTGTATGCGCGTTCGAGAGATGTGCTTGCGTGCACATTCGTTTGCACAACCTGTCGCCAAACGGAGAACCATGGTGAAGACTTCCTCAGACACAAGTGCCGACATCAAACTGAGGGTTTCGGAGGAGTGTTTAGGGTTTAGGGTTTATCTTTGACAATGCCAGGTTGCAGATTCGAATGCCTGCAGGTCCAATCCTGAACTCACTCCGATGCTCCCGGGAAAATGAAACTTACACGGCTCTGTCAGTTAAAGGAAACTACAGGTGGGGAGCTTTAGGGTATATAGGGGCTTCTATGAGGCTTCTATAAGGTATATAGACCTTCTATCAGGCTCCTATAACGGTAGCTACCCACCTGAAAATGTCCTAGGCTCCGGGGTTGAGGCTTGAGGGCGTGGAGTTTACAGCTTCGCATCCATCGGGCTTGCGGTACAGCGCAGGAGATTTCGTCTTCAAGGGAAGGCCTGAGGATTGGCTTCAGAGTTCTGTAGGCTTCAATGTTTAGGGTTTAGGGTTTAGGGTTTAGGGCTTCAATGATTACTTGCTCTTTGGGATATGGTTGCTTCGCCAGGGTAAACTGCCTCAAGACGAAAAAGACTTCGATAGCCCACGAGCAATACGCTGCCCTCTCCGTCAATCGGGGGTAAAGCAAACATCCCATGACGGCGGCTCGAACCCTAAGCCGTAAATGCACAAAATGAGCAGTGCTCAGTAATATTTCGCATAATGGAACATTACGGTGAGAATTCTGATGACGATCGCCATTGTTATGATGGCATACTTTGTCTTACTTTAAGTGTCAGGGTCGAGACTATTACAACCTATACTAACCCCGCATTTCATCGTTATGATGCCGGCTATGACGATGGCTCTTAACTATTATTGATCTTGGTTGTACTTCTAGGGATATTATTGTTAATACTAGTATTGCTATTACTACGACTACTACGACGACGACGGCTACTACTCCTGCTACTCTTACTGCTACCACTCCTACTGCTGCTACTGCTGTCTGCTGCTGCTGGCTGCTGCTGCAGGCTGCTGCTGCTGCTACTGCTACGACTACGACGGCTATCATTACAAATTAATGTCACCATTATGATGGTTACCACGAAAACACACCCATCATCAGTAACTACCATTGTTGCAAGCACCCAAAGGGGAAACCCCCACCGAGGCGCCGTTCTCCCGGCACCAGCCCCTTGCCGCCGGCGTTCGCTTCCCGAGGCGCTCCCAATGCTCGAAGAGCTTCCTTAGGTTCTTCTGGTTCACCGGGTTTAGGGGTTTACAGGGTTTATTTGAATTGAAAGGCACTGTATAAGGCACCTTTATACTTGGTTGTGTTTGAGCCCCTTTCAAAGGGTTCCTTTTCAAAGCACCTTTTAAGGCTTCCTCAGGGGTCTGAAGGGTTTTGGGCTTTAGGTTTTTAATGATGATGGACTTGGGATTGGACTGCGGGGGGTTTAGCGTTTACGAGCATTTAGAGTAGTGCTTGAGGATGTTGGGGTGTTAGGATGCGTTAGGGGTCTAGGCTTTTAGGGCCTCAAGATGCTCAACGACTAGAATCTGATTCTTGGCGTTCAGGTTTTACAGGAGTTTCAAGTGTTGACGGCGCTTGCTTAGGACCTGAGGTCAAGGGTTCAGGCTCGGGCTCAGGCTCAAAATCCTAAACCCTAAACACTTTTCAGGGTTTAGGGCTTAGCCATAGGCCCCATAGTAGTTCCTTTTTGTGGCTTAATCCCAGAAAGGCACTACTATGGGGCCTATGGGTAGTAATTTAGGGTTTACGGTTCCAGGGCTTCGGGGTGGAGTGCTTGCTGGGCGTTTTGTACCTGGAGGAGCTTTCTGTGGATACTCATAAAAGGTCCTACTGTAGGGGCCTGTAGGGCCTTAATAAGAAGAATAGGGTTCTGGTGCCCATTAAACTATAATTATAATAAGGAACCCCCAAAATAGTATTGGTAATTGTTTAGGCCCCTATACATTACTTGAGTCTTTAGGGAAAGGACTCTGAACAAGCGTCTTTGGGGTTGTCCGGCAGAAGGTTCGTGAAGTCTTAGGGTTCGGTTCGCGTGCGTCGAAGCGATGCCAGTGCAATTGGGCTGAGGTTTAGGCCCCAAACTTTAGGGCTTAGTGTCGGAGGGTTTAGGGTTGGAGGGTTCAGGGTTTAGGGGTTGGTGGTCCCACACCATTTTCAGAATATTGACTGTTTGGGGGAGGATGTGGATGCTGACGGCCTTGCGGGTCCCCCAGCAGGCTGGACAAGTTGTGCGTCTGTCAGGAACGGCTCTAGAGCCTTCAGGGTGCAGCATAGAGCTAAACCCTAAACCCTAAACCCTAAACCCTAAACCCTAAACCCTAAAGCCTAAAGACCTTTGTGCATTGCTGGATACCGGTTTTCAACATCAGGAGCTGCGGTTTTCATCTTCAAGAGCTGCAAACCCTAAACCCTAAAGAATCCTGTTCTTCCCGAACTCATCCGAAACGCTGAATCCTACCCTGAGAACGACTCGGAACCGTCAGTCCCAAAGTCATCAACCTGCTCTTTGAGACCACCCAAAACGCAGCAACGAAGCTATGGCCCCCCCAAAACCAGGGCTTCTTGTTCGCATCGATCCTGAGACCACCAACGCTTTGAACCAAACGAGAATCCGAAATCTTAAGCCGATTCCGGAATGAAGCCTAAACTCAAATCCTAAACCTTGCACCCCGACTCCTAGCCCGTAAGCGCGAATAGTAAAGCCTGAAGAAACTTGCAGAAGCCAGGAGGCACCAGAACAAGCTGGTCGCTCTCCAAATCGCCGGCGAGTTCCATCTGGCCGAGTGGGAAAAATCAGGCCGAGTTGGGGATTTGGGATGTAGGGTTCTTGTTTGGTTGAAACCCTAAACCCTAAACCCTAAGGTGTTTCCCGTTCGAAACACCGAAGCTCAAAGAGGGCCCGGAACCCCCACATCCTGGCTCCTAGGCCCTATACCCACGCTCCAAAGCCCGAGCCCCACATGCTAAAACCCCAGAAAGCTAGGGCCCCTACCCCCCCAAAACCTGAAATCCTGAGACAACTCTAAGCCCTAAACCTTAAACTCATAAACCCCAAAGCCTTAAAAGCCCTAGAGCCCAAAACTCTTAGATGCTGAAGTAACCCCATAAGTGCGAGGCTGCCCTGAACCCGAGCTAGAGTCATGAGCATCTCGACTGAGTTCTTCTTAAGGAATTTCCATTGTGGTTCCCAAACCCTAAACGATAAACCCCAAACCCTAAACCCGAAACCTCACACCCTAAACCATAAACTCGAAACCCTAAAGCCTAAATCCTAAACCCTAAACCCCCTCCTAAACCCTAACCCTCCACTCCTTAACAAAAGCCCTGTCGAGCCTTGCGCTGTTCCTGGGCGCCTTTGCTGCTGCCTTTGCCTGCAGCGGTAACCTTCCGAGAAGCATGGCTTCGGGTTGAGGGCTCAGGTTTTAAGGTTTAGGGTTTAGGCTTGAGGTCGTTGGGCTGAGGGTTTAGGGTTTAGGGCTGAGGCTTTAGGGTTGACGGTTCAGGGTTTAAGACTGAGGTCTTAGGGCTGAGGGCGTAGGGTTGAGGGTTTAGGTTTGATGAGGGTTGAGGGTTTAGGGGCTCAGGGCAACGGGATTTAGGGTTTAGTTTAGGATTGACGGTTTGGGGTTTAGGGCTGAGGGAAAGAGCCTAAACCCTAAACCCTAAACCTTTAAACCCCTAAACCCTAAACCCTAAGCCACAAGGCATCGACAAACCCAGGGTATCGGCTGGAGAGTTTGGTATGGACCCTTGGCCGGCCGAGCTGACCCAGCATCTGCAAGGAAGCTGGCTGGGTTTAGGGTTTAGGGTTTAGGGGTTGGGGGTTTAGGGGTTTAGGGGTTTAGGGAATTAGGGGTTGAGGGGTTCAGAGTTTTAGTGTTTAGGGGTTTAGGGTTTTAGGGTTTAGGGTTTTCACTCACAAGCCCCAAACCGCCAGTGTCCGAGCCCCAACTCTGGTTCCGGGGCTCCATAAGCAAAGCCCGAAGCCTCTAAACCCAAAGCCCCTGACCCCACTCCCTCACCCGAAAACTCGAAGGCTTAGGCCCGGTGGACCGTTCAGTTTGACAACCTCAACCCCCCCACAAAAAGCAAGTCAGATCTTATGGAACCCAGCAAAAAGTACTAAAACCTATATGAAACCTATCCCGACCCCCGCCGAGCGGCTGCAAAAGGCGACTTCACGGACAGCGCTGCCGCCAGAGTGCAGACGTCTCCAGGGACCCCGAAGATGCAACCCAGCACCTCTAGGGGGTTTAGAGTATTAGGGTATGAGGGTTTAGGGCTTAGGGTTTAGGGTATTAGGGTATTAGGGTGTTAGGGTATCAGGGGATTAAGGGGATTAAGGGGATTGGGGTTTAGGGTATTCGGGTTTAGGCGATATTAGTCTTAGGGTGTTAGGGTTTAGGGTGCCCGGCTTGGAATTTAAACTTAAGGGCTGGGTTTAGGGTTGAAGGTCTAGGGTTTAGGAGTTCCTTCAAGGGTCTCTTTCATGGTTTTTTCAGGGTGTCTTTGAGGGTTCCTCTAAGCTTCAAGGGTTTACTGATGCGCCTTAGGTTGAAGCTCTGGGTCTATCGGTCCGTCCGTCCGTCTATCTGTCTATCTGTCCATCTGTCCATCTGTCTATCTGTCCATCTGTCCATCTACTTACCCATCCATCTATCTATCTTTCTATCTAACCACCTATCTACCTATCTACCTATCTACCTATCTACCTATCTACCTATCTACCTATCTACCTATCTACCTACCTACCTACCTACCTACCTACCAACCTACCTACCTGTCTCCCTCTCTCTCTCTCTCTATCTATCTATCTATCTATCTATCTATCTACCTATCTATGTTTCTGTTTATCTATCTATCTGTTTATCTATCTACCTATGTATCTATCGATCTACCGATCTATCGATCTACCTATCTATCTATCTATCTATCTATCTACCTACCTATCTATCTATCTATCTATCTATCTATCTTTCTATCTATCTTTCTATCTATCTATCTATCTATCTGTCCATCTATCTATCGGCGCCTTAGTAATTTAAAGACCTGGGGGTACGTATAGTATGCTGCCGGAAAGCGGGGGCCTTAGGGTGATACTGTTAATTTGCTCTTTACGGCTTACTATTGCTAAGCTTTGAGGAAACGGATAAACCCTAAACAATCGGAAACCCTGCAGGTCCTTACCGTGTAAACTGTAAAGTTCAACTACAAACCATATCGGCCCTGAAGCCCTAAAGCTTGTAGGCCTAAACTCCAAAACCCGAAAGCCCTATGCTCACCAAACCCGAGACCCTAAACCCCAAACCCTAAACCCCAAACCCTTAAAACTCTTTAATCCGGCGGGTTTAGGGGTTAGGGCCCGAAGCTCCTTTAAACCCTGTTGGTCTAGAGCTGTAAATCCTGAAATCCTAAACCTGCCTTAAGAACGAAATGAACCCTAAAGGGGTTTAAGGTTCATATCCTGGTTCATATACCATATAGGGATTTATAGTATACGGGTATATGGCCCCTACTTTTAAGGGTCATGTGGTCCCTAAGTTGAGGCCCATGCAAGAAGCTTGGCGCAGCCCGCATCCACAGGAAGCTGGGCGAGGTGGTTGCCCAAGGGAGTCAGGCGCCTCGGGTTTCGTGTGGTTTAGGGTATGCGGGGTTCAGGGGTTTGCGGTCCAGGGCCTGGGGTACTAAGGTCCAGGTCTTAAGTGGCTCAGGGTTTTAGGGTTGAGGTGGGTTCAGCATTTTAGGGAGCAGAACCTGCGCGTCGAGCCACAGGACTTGCTCAGCTTAGGGTTTACGAGATTAGGATGATTGTTTTGACTCCTAGGATGGGTTTAGGGTTTAGGCCGATTTAGGGCATGGGCTATCAGGGTTTCATGTCGGGCACAGTGTTCGGGGCAGACGAGCGGAGTCCCAGGTATTCCTGAGTTCCAGCTCGTAACCCAAAGATTCAGGGTTTAACGTTATTTGGGGTTTAAGGGGTCAGGGTTCAGGGCTTGGGGTTTAGACGGCGGAAAACACTAAACCCTAAACCCTAAACCCTAAACCCTGAACCCTAAACCCTAAACCCCAAACCCTAAACCTCAAACCCCAAGACAGCCCCACGAACCGACCCGAAGCTCGGGATTCCTTCGCTCAAAATTAAACCTCCACGGCCCACCTAAGCACCAACCCCAAAGTTCGAAACCCCCAACCCAAAACCAGGAACCCTAAAACCCAAACCCTACACTCTAAACCCCAAGCCCTAAACCCCGAAGCCTGAAATGGCCCTCAACCCTAAACCCGTAAACTCTGAACCCTAAACCCCGAACCTTATACCCTAAGCTGGCCCTAAACCCCAAATCGAACGCCAGATCACAGCTTGGCTTTCAAAAGGCGCTGCTGATCGTCCTCCGACATTGATGGCTTAAGGGGGTGTAGGGTTTTCTTCACGGCCTCTTCTGAAGGTTCTTTAGAGTTTTTACAAGGGTTCAATACTGGGCCGTGGGGCTTTTGCTTGAGAGCTTTACTTTTTGGCTTTTGTGCTCGCCTGCAATCTAAGCTTACATCCTTTTGTTTGACACTGTAGGAAACTTGTTGAGAGACTTGGACTCAAGACGGCAAACATTACCACTGACAAATCTGTTGCACAATGCCAAAAAATACCGTAGCACCAGCGAGACCAAGCCCAGCTTTAATTGAACCCAGCACTCCCCATCCCGATCAAAAAGCTCGAAGCTTGAACAAGCCTCTGTATGCAACCTGCGCTGGCCTAGACTAAAGACCAAAATCTCCTTGACCCTCAGCCTTCTACATACAACCTCGAAGAAATCTTAATGTAGGTGCTCCCATGATTGGACTGGGGCCTGGGGCTGGCTAAAAAAAACTACAGCTGTCCGGGACGAAAGGGAGTTACGATTTCTACGTATTCAACCAATTTACACGAAAACAATAAACCCTTCATAAGGTGATTACACCAACACCCGATACTAACCATTAAGGCCCCTTTCTGGGAATTTTCTAAGGATTAGAATGCACCAGAAAAGTTAAAGGCTACCTACTCTACTACTACTACTACTACTACTACTACTACTACTACTACTACCAATACTACTACGACGTACGACGAATCATTAAGGCCCCTATTTTGCAAGAAAGCCTCAGCCGGTCCTTGTCCCAGCCGCGGCTGCCGATCTCCTCAGCCGCAGAGCCGGCGACTTTCCTGTCGCATGAGATCATGAGCCCAAAGGGGTAAACCCTAAACCCTATTTTAGGGTTTAGGGTTTAGGTTTAAGGTTTAGGGTTTAGGGCTTAGGGTATAAACCCTAGGGTGGAGATGCTCCATCATGAGCCCAAGGGGTACCAACACCCCTAAGTACCCACGATTAAGGACCATAAGGGCTCTATTAAAGGGTACTTGGGTGGTGCTGGTAAGGTTTAAGGTTCAGGATGTAGGGTCTTAGTGTTAAGGTTTAGGGTTTTAGTGCTTAGGGTTTAGGGCTTTAGAGTTTAGGGTGCTAGGGTGTTAAGGTGTTAGGGTTTAGGGCCTCCTGCATATTGGGCTTTAGGGTTGAGGGTCTATATCGATGGCTGTGGCCATGACCATCAGAACCAGCACCGTCGCCCGCAGCCGCCGAAATACCCAAACAATAAATTGGGTTCTTGTTAAGGGAATACACTGATATTGCCATACAAAACGTATTATTTTACTAAAGAGCCCTGTTATGGTAACTTAAATTAAATCCATCTAACCCTAAACCCTAAGCCCCTTAACAAGAACCCAGTAAAACTCGAACCCTAGACCCGAACACGGCACTCCGAGAACTCTGGGATTTGCGCTGCAGCCGGAGGGCTCGCGCAATTCCACAGCGCTGAGCTCGACCTGGCGGTTTAGGGCGTTAGAGTTTTACGTAGGTTTCGGGTTTTGGGGTATAGGGTTTTAGGGTTTAGGGTTGGCTGGAACAGCCCAGCATGCCGAACTTATCTACAAGATTGCAGGAAGAAGCCCACATGGACCAGCTGTCGTGAAAAAGGTGCTGGACGGCAGCTTTCTTGATTGCAGGGGTGCGCCAAAGAGAGATCCTGCTAGAGACTTGAGCTGAGGATTTTGGAGATATAGGGTCTATGGGCTTATAATACGGTTTAGGGTTTAGGGTTTAGGGTTTAGGGTCGGCTTATATATTCCAGAGTTCCGAGCTTAGTGCCAGAGGTGCCGGCATGGCGCATGTGGGTAGTTTTCTAAACGAGGGGTGCGGCACCCTAAAAAAAAGGAACCTAGAAGGGACTCCAAGTTAGAGAACTACCCATATAGATCCCCCGTAGAGTACCCTTGTAGAAACCCCTATGAATCCCTTTTAAAGGAGCCTAAACGGGACCCTAATTTAGAGAACTACCCACCTGAAGATTCATAGAGCATTCCTTCGTAGAGGCGTTTAGGGTTTAGGGGCTTAGGGATTAGGGTTTAGGGTTTAGGGTTTAGGGAAACTTCGAGAACTACCCTAAACCCTAAACCCTAAACCCTAAACCCTAAACCAGTTCAGCGTATGAATTCTTGAAGTGACGGTGGGCCTCGGGCTCTCAGCCACGCTCTTCGTACTGAGGGTTTAGGGTTTAGGGTTTAGGGTTTAGGGTTTAGGGTGTAGGGTTTAGGGTTTAGGGTTTAGGGTTTAGGGGCCTTAATGATTAGGATAGGGCTCCTTTAATTTAAAGGGATCAGGGGCCTTAATAATCAGAATAGGGCTTTCGGCTCTTTTTATAGCATAATGAGGGATGTCGGGATAAAGCCCAAACTGCAAATCCAAAACCTCGAACGCCAAAAAAAACAAACCTAGAAACCCTAAAGCCTAAAGCCCTTATCCACAAGCCCCTTAACCCTTCTAGAACCCTAAACCCTAAACCCTCATAGAACCCTCAACCCTAAAACCCTAAACCCTAAACTCTTATAGAACCCTAAACCCTGATGGAACCCAAAACTTCACCAACTTCTTAGCACCCTGCGAGTTGCTGCAGCGACGACAGCACTGCTGCATCCTCAGACTGATGAGCTGGTCTTTTCGGGGTTTTAGGCTTTAGGGTTTAGGATTTTGGGTATAGAGGTTTGGGTAAAAAAGCTTTCGGGTTTAGGATTTTTTTGTAGAGGGTTTCGGGTAAAGTGGCTTCAGGGTTTAGGATCAAGGGTTCAAGGTTCACGGTTTTGGGGTTTGGGGTTTAGGATCTAGGGTTTAGGGTTGAGGGTTTTAGGGTTTAGGGTATTGGGTTTTAGGGTTTAGCGTATATGCGTAGTTCTCTAAACTAGGGTCCCTTTTTAGGTCCCCATTATAGTACGGCAAGCTTATAAAAAGGACCCGAAAAGGGACTAATTTAGAGAACTATCCATATACGGTTTAGATCAGGGCGTCTGAGGTCTGGGATGTAGGGTATGATTCAGATGAACATGGCTGTGGGGTAACTCGCCGCAACCTTGTGGCTCAGGCTTCGTGTGTAGTGACTGTAGTGTTGAGAGTTCAAACGTTAAAGTTTAGGGCTTAGTGCCCTAAACCCTAAACCCTAAATAGTTCCAATTTGGGATTACCTCATAGGATCCTAAATAAAAGCTACCAAAGGAACTACTACGGGGCCTATGGGTAGCAATGGTGATTGCAGCATACAGATGGCAACTTCAGCAGGCAAACCCTGGACTGTGAATCCTTAGACCTCAGCAAATCCCTGAAGATGAGCTATAAACCCCAGCAAGCCACAGCTCTGAACAATATATATATATATAACACATATAATATATTATGTTATATATATATATATATATATATATGTGTGTATACATGCTTTTGCTGAGCAAGTAGTTGCCCCAAAATGCGCCATCTAGAAACCCAGCCTTCAACCCATCAGCCCTCGTTGTGAATCTTTAAACTATAGTCAGGGTTTGGGTTTAGGAATTAGGGTTCAGCGGTTCAAGGAGTGCAGAGATGAGGGTTTTGACCCTTAACCATCAAGCCGATCTTCATTTTTTCACGCACCCGGGACAGACATCCCTTCCACTTCGTCTAGGACTTTTTGTTTAGCCTTCTGAGCTTTAGGCTTTCAGAAATTGGGGTGCAAATGTCAGTATCCGGAGGCCTAGAGCAAAAAACCCTAACCCTAGACCCGAACCTCTAAACGCCTAAAACCCCCTTGATCCTAGCAGCACCGTTGCATAGGCTACCGGCTCGGAACTTGCAAGGGCTTAGGATATCGGATAGCATTTTAGTAAGTATAGGCATTTTAAGGTACCCTATACACTACAGCATCAAAAAACACACAAGACTCTGCCCGAGACCCCCCCAAGTAGGTTCTACAGTCCTGGCGGGAATCAATGTAACTACCTGCATGAAGGTCCAGGGGGGTTTAGGGTTTAGGGTTTAGGTTTTCCCCCGTTATCAGTCATGCTGTCCTTGACGTAGTAACCCAGGACACCTACACCAGACACATGCCTTTTTCCTGCAGTCCAAAGCTTAAGAATGAGCGCTTATAGACCGATCATGAAACCCACCACGCCACGCTTGAATTCCGAACCCCGAAACCAAACCCTACCCCCAATCAAGCCCAAGACCATGCCAAAAGTCTAAACCCTAAACCCCAATTCCTGAACCCCAAACCCTAATTCCTGCACCCTGGCCCCGTCCCCTGGCCCCAACAGTGATATAGCATCAACGACCGAGGCTTTGGCCGTGGGCGGCGTGATGGCCTCATCTGGGTTCTTGTCAAGGGATCTAATTTAAGCTGCCATGATAGGGATCTATCGTATATCATATGGTTTCTTTCTGCTGGTACCTTAAATGTAAATCTATAGAATATAATATGGTTTCTTTATTATGGTACCTTAAGTTGAAATCGATAGTAAATAATATGGCTTCCTTATTATGGTACCTTAAATTTAAATCTAGAGTAAATAAGAAGGTTTTTTTATTATGGTAACTTAAACTAAACCCCTCAACAAGAACCCAGTGATGTGCTGCAAGCCCTGAAAGCCCAACAACTCCGGTTTAGTCTCTGGACCCGTCGGTCTCCTCTTAGGTTTAGGGCTTCAGGGTTTTAGGAGTTCAGGGCTTCAGGGCTTTAGGGTTTAGGGTGTAATGCTGCGAGACTTTCTTAAGTGCAATGGGCACCCTTTCGGTGTCAGGCTTGAGGGTTTCAGGGCTTTGGTTTAGGGTTTGAGCTTTAGAGTGTTAGGGATTTATATAGGGTCTAGGGGTTAAGGCTTAAAATGCTAGGGTTCTAGGGTTTTTCATGAAACCTGCACGGCCTAGACCCGATTCGGCGCGGTAGATGGGTGGGAAAGTTCAGAGCCGAAGGCTCAGTGGGTTTGAGGTTGCCTTTTTAGGGTTTAGGGTTCAGGGTTTAAGGTTTAAGGTCTAGGGTTTTAGGGTTCAGGCAATTTTGGATTCAGGGGTGGAGGTCCCCCAAAAGCTAGTCTAAACGGATCCGGTCTGGTGCACTGAAACCAGGGGTCCAGGCTATCGCTGAGTCTCCTGTGGTCTTGTGGCTCTGATTGCTGTCACCATTCTTAGGGGCTAGGCTGAAAGTTCTTTTGCTTCGATTTCTGTCGCTATTACAGAGTTGAGGGTATTAGGTTGTTGATATTCAACAGGGAGCTTCCTAGATAGATGTGGTGATACTACGTTGCTCTCGGTACTCGGCACGGCAAGCCGTACCAAACCCAATTTGCTAGGACCCCCTGTGAGCTCCAATAGCTACATGCCCACGACAGGCCCCTCTCGGATTTGTAAACCTGCCTCTGTAGAATGACTCCCCAACTTCAAGCCCGTGGCTGCAAGGCTGCAGTTACAAATCATCTTAGGCTGGACGAATGCAGATGTTCGAACAATTGTGCCGCCTACTATTTCGTCGAAGGGGCTACTGTTTCAGTTCCATCAAGCCTTCGTCATCTCTCATGGATATCCAAGCCAGTACCCGACATCCTCAACTCCTCAACTCTCAACCGCCAAATTCATCCCCAAACTAACCCCTAAACCCTAACTCCCAAACCCAAAACCAAGCCAGTAGCGGGCTGCAGTTGTTTCTCTTTGGTTGTGAAGAACTTGCTTCCACCTCTGCCGCACGTTCTTCGCACAGCAGCATGTGAGACACTTCGTTTGCCATCGACACAGTCATCGCGACAGAGTGCCAGCAGTTGAAGGGGCTAACCGCAGTCTATGGCTGGGACAGGATTTGGGCTTTTGAGAAGGAATAATTACGTGTTTAGGGGCTACGAAGAAGCGTAAACGGGATTAGATACTGAGGCTGCTACGTCAGTTTAAAGTTTAGGGCTCCAGGTGCGAAGGGATTGCATAGGCTCTATCTATGCTTGCAGGCTTTCAAAGGGCCCGCAATCAAAGCCAAGCTTTTCTGCTGGACTCCTGGATCATCTGGCGCGCTGCCTGAAGCCGGGTCATCAGCACAGTAACTAAAAGCCTTTATTCTTAACCTGAGGGCTTGGGTTCAGGGTTTCGGGTTCAGGACTTAAGGCAGGGTTTGGGATAGCATAAACCTGTGCTAGTCCTGAAAGCCAAGCAACCTTCACGGGGTTTGGGGTTTGGGGGTGGGACTAAGCCCTAAAGCCCTAAACCCAAAGTAAGCATTGAGTCGTAAGTCGAGGAACTATAAGGTCTGATAAACGTCCTACTATACTGTTGATGATATTGATCCTGCAGTACCTTGAGGACCCTAAACAATGGGAATTATGGTATATTCCTTATTATCGGTAATGCAGGATTGATATCATCAACCGTAGTATTCCTCGTTAATCTTTATCGCGTGTAAATCTGCTACTATTGCAACAACTTCAGGCCCCTGCTGTAGCCCATGTTTCTCGGGGCCTAAACCCTAAACCCTAAACCCTAAACCCTAAACCCTAAACCCTGAACCCTAAACCGTCGATGATTCTGGAGTGTCTCAGACCCAGAGGAGGATCAAATCCTGTATCTTTCTTCGCAAGCCCTGGAGCTCCATGCGCCCAAATATTATATGGGTGTTATCCGATATTCCT